AAGAAGCAGCTCTTACCCTGTCATGAAGCTGAAGTTGGATATTGGTGATGAAGAACATATTTCACAACTTCGTAAAATGATACCACAATTCCAACTGAGGGGCCTGCACGGCCAACACGAGGTCCAACTCCTGCAAAAAGTCCTCTCAACCCACCATCCCTGGTTCAAATTTAATTCAATTTCAGTCGCAGACAGCAAATAGACAATCATTTGACTTCATTAATTGAAGCTAAAAACCAAAGCTACTTTAGATGATATCTTCGTTGCCATAATCAATATGGTAGCACAAATTTCAATAGAGGTGCAATAATGGAGCACTATTTCTTGCTTGATGGCGTCTTCCTAGTGAAAGAAATTTAAGAATAAAAGCATCTCTATGAAAACCTACTACAATTTAATGTTCTGTCCAAGTAGTGAAATACCTCCAAACCTCCATTAGTGTCTGCCTTGTTGTCATTCTCAGTGCCCTCACCGGATCCTTCTGAAAATTTCAAAAGAATTAAAATAATGGATTTATATGGGTATGTGGGAAAAAAAGTCTATAATGGAAAAATAATCAGAATCAGCGTCAAAATCCCTGCATAGATTGTTACGTCTTCAAATGTGGATAACAGACCCAATTACTTAAACAATTCCACAAGTTCTTAAGACAGGACAACAGGCAATGTATTTATAAGGGAAAAAACCTCAATCTGTCGTCGTGTTTTTGCAACATCCAGGGGACATGTAGCGGCAGCAGCAAGACTTCCAGCAACAAAACCAGCAGAAAAGTTGGCACCAAGCACACTGGCTGCGTTAGCTTCATCACCTACCAATCCAAGGAGTTTCCTTCTGACCTATATAGATGACACAAGCCCAGTTAAACATAGAATACAGTAGGTTAAAGAATAATTAAACATCCCCACAGCTGAACAGTTAAATTCTCACTGGTTCAAGGGTTGACCAACAAATTGCTGAGAAGGGAACATCACGTGCAAGCTGCGCCCCCATTCCAGTCCATAGGGCACGGTAACTTTTTACTGCAAAAATTTCACTAAAATAAGTAAAGAATCATTCTTAGAGAAATTTGTATACATTCAATATAAGTTAACTTACAGGCGGTTTCGGCATTAGTTGTGCTCTTGACATTGGAGACGACACCTAGTAAAGTCTGCCAGATTCCAGGTGGCTTCTTGCCAGTTTGCATTTCCTTAAATGCCTATACAAAAGCAAACAAACCATATCATTCATTGAAGCCACAGTGCGAGGAAAATTCCAAGTTCCAACTTATAACTACTCAAGCATGCGAAACACAAAACACATAAAATATGCTAGCACTATAAATAAGATGAAATTATAATCAAATCATGCATGCATCTTGAAGTACTTATACTTTTTTTTCTTTTTTCTTTAATAACCGGGAGCCGGAGCTTTGCTCCCCTATACCAAGGCCTGGACCCAGGAGACATCTTGAAGTACTTATACTGACGTTTTAATATGTTCTAATCCTGACTAAAATGACATTCTCAAAGGGAACTGTATGTCCAGAATCAAGACACAGTCTAATAAAAAGTAATCAAATGCGATTAGGCACCATCAATATAAACAAGAAAGATGGGATAATACTATAACCTCCTCTAGAAATGTATAACCAACAAACAGTTAAGTGTAAATATGATAGCAAATTTTCACTTAAAATTATTAAACAAATTCAAATATTAAGGTCCCATATCATAACATTTTTTTTAATTCTGTTCATTGTTTATAAAAATTAAGCCTGTCTACTACCAAATTCATTGCTTTATCCTTTTTTAATAAGATTTATTTCATCTTTTTAATTTTTAAAAATATCTTTGGATACCTAAGAAGCACATACACTGTGGGTAACGCCTGTAACTGACACACTAACACTTATTCAACACATATTAACTCAATATACATGAGTCATACACTTGTTGTATGAAGTGAATATAGATTTGACACTTGTTAGGCCCATATCGAACACTTGTTAAGCATAATAAATAGATACAAATGGATACAAATAGTAATATAGCACAGAATAATAAGTTTTAAGAACAAAATACATCAAACTCATTTTTTAAGCATAAAAATGCATAAAATTTATTAACTTCAAATTTCCTTCAGGTATAAAACTGATATATATATATATATATATATATATATTTTAATAAACGTGCCCTTGTCATGTTTGTGTCCTAGATTTTTTGAAAATGACGTGTTGTCGTGTCCATATCGTATCGTTGTCTCGTGTCCGTATCCAGGCTTCTTAGTTAGATACCTTAGCCAAATTTAAAAAGCAAAACATGAGTTTTTTAAAATTACTTTTTTAAGTTTTAAAATTTGACCATGGTTTTCATTTTTCAAGATGGTTCTAGAAAAACACGTAAGTGGGTTGTAGACTGAAAACAGTAAACAGTAAACAAAAAAGTTACCAAATGGGCCCAAATGATGGGCAATGTCTTAAGGTATTTCAGTTATGCTTCCAGGTGCTCATTACCTGCATGCGAGTTCTAGCAAGCTCAATTGGGTAACAAGTTGCACAAGCCAAAGAACGTGCTAATGCCCCAGCAACTAAAGGAACATAAGGAGTTGTACTGGGAGCATTCTGGGAAGTGATCTCTTCTAACCAGTTCCGGAATATGTCATAGCAAGGTAGGTAGATTCCCACCTGTTTTTTAAAATTAAAATAACGTTAATCATTACCGAGATAATGATATTCATGTCCATATACGTATTCAGGAACTTTTAGACAGTGGGAGAGGTGGCCTTTAATATGAAGTCATACCGTTGGAACAGCAAGAGCTAGGCCTGCATTTGTGCCTCTCCACAACCTCGCAAATCCTTCCTGTGAATTTCATCATGTATAATGAACACTAAAATAAACACATAGTTCATAACTTATTTTAATTCACAGCCCAACTTATACTAAACATCTATTCTACTAAGCATCAGAAGCTGAAGCAGTCCTCAACCAATAAATAAATGAATCACAAGTTCATCCATCTTTCGCGATTAACAAGAGAAAACTGACCAACCTGTCGGACAATTTTGTAGAAGACGTCCAAGGTTCCTTTGTACTGAAAACAATCAGGAGGACATATTGCTACTGTACCATGAATCCCAGCACGTGCACATGATGGAGAACACCTCAGGTCAGCAAACATCTGGAACAGTATATAGCAATCAAAGATTAATTCAATATCAAAGAGAGAAATCATGTCCAACAACAAGAAACTAGAAGCATAAAACTATTACAAATTCCAAAACAATACAAAATATTAAAATTAAGAATCTAAGATGATAATATGATAATATGATAATATAATGATAGGGCATCGCCATTCCTTCCCTCTCAGAACATTGCAGTCCCTAAAGGCATAAGAGAAAGCAAGAGAGCAAATTCAACCGACATGCCTAGAGTACTTCTTTTTTATCACCAAAGTTATCAATTCAAATAATAAACTTTACTACAAGAATTAGAAGGAAACAAAAATGAAGTAATTAAGCAGCCATGAATGATCAAATATAGATTACATAACTCTAACAACTTATATCATGCTGCAAAAAGATCAGTAAAAGTAGAAGTTTGAAATACCATTAGATTCTACACAAATCTAGATTCGAGATAGAAATAAAAAATGAATCTGACTTATAGGCTTATGACTTATGAATAAGAAATAATAGTACAAACCGTGTTAGGTCCAAAAAATGCCATGCGACTGGTCCAATCACTCAGTGGATGCGAATAAGGAACTCCTGCAGCTTGAGCTTGCAACCTCGTCTGATAATTAAAAAAAAAAAGAGAGAGAAATTCTTTAGATTGTAGATTTGCAGAATATGATGGGGAGGCCCATTATATATAATTAAGGTTGCAGTACAGATAGGAGAAACAAGAGTAGTCACGTGTAAATATATCAGACCATGGCAATGATTCAAGGTCCAAAAAAGTAGATATGAAAATTTACAGTATAAAAATTTACAGACATACCAGAGTACTTCTACTTTTTAGGGCCAGAAATTTCATCTAAAACTATAAAATTAAAATTAATTACAAATTTAGTCGGTAAACATGAAGTTTAAATTTTGATTATAATTTCAAATAAGCTCTTATTATTAATATTGTTACTTAACTATTGAGATGGCACATGAGACTAACGAATGATGATTGACATGATGTGACACAACAAAGTAGGTCAACAACATAGATAACAGCGGAAGAACATCAAGATAGATGACTTATTCCCTTGTGCCAAAGTGTGTCAAATCATCATTTGTTAGTCTAATTTGGACAACATTTAGATTTAACTGCATGGACTAGTTAGAATCGAAAGTGGAAGTTGAGGAACATAATTAGAACTTTTGAAAATTTTCCAGTAAATAGACCCATTGAAGTTCAAAGTTCAGACGGTTAAATTGTAATTTAACCTAAAACTTAACAAAATTCATTCTATATTTCTCCAAATTTTTAGTTATTTGGATGATTATCAAACTTGAGGAGTTGAAGAACTATCGTGTCATCTTAAACAGCCTTGCAGGAAAGAAACGTTTCCTAAATCAGCTATTATCCAATTCACCCAGACAAACTTCTCTCAACCAAAAACGAGTCGTTTAATCCAGGCATATAATATTTAAGAACATGAATGCCCATGGACATGGTGTATAAAACCACAACAATATGACCAATAAAAAGAAAAACATAAAGAGTAGCCTCATAACTTGTCCCCAAAGGTACTTATTGACCACCCTGGGTACCATCAATTAAAACCCTACTACGTGTTTCGAATAACTCCCAAACAATTCAAGCATTAAGAACATGATTAGTAACAAAGAAAACTCTGATTCAACATTACCTTGGCAACATCAAGAGGATTTACAATTATTGCCGAAAGAAAGGCGGCACCAGCGGCAGAGACAGCGCGCTCTCCAAACCCCAATTTACGTTCAGAAGTATTCTCGTTCAAAGGCAGAGACGGAGAAGGCGAACGCCGCAGCCCATCACTCTCAATAACCAACATCGAAGAATCACGGCCGTGCGTGTCGATTGTGTGAGCTTCGTCCTCGGCGGCAATCCAGGAATCACGCCCATGCCCTGGGTCCGATTTCACCATCCTCCCCGCAAACGAGTTCATCCTGCAAAATCAAACACCCGCTTCTGAAATGGAAAAGAAACAGGGACAATTATCGCCAGCACAAACAAACAGCCATGGAAAGCCGAAACCTGATTGGATGTTGGCATGGCGATTGAAACACGCATTCGGAGATTGGAAAAATGGAAATGAAAGCAGTTCTCCAAATTGCTTGGAGAGAAGGAAAAAGGAAGAAAATCTCACCAGAAGCAGAAGAAAGCGGAAGAGAAGGGTACGGAAGTTGGTGTGTGGCCTCTTCTGGCCTGCGCCTTAGGGCCACTCTTTGTTGTGACCTCCTAAATTTCTTACTAAAAACCTAATAATTTCTCAAACCACAATTATATTATATTTTCTTTTATTTTCCCCATGAATTTCTTTTCTTAAATTATAAGCTTACCGCAAGAAATTTTTTGACTCAAGTACATTTCTCTTTAACTTTCAACTCCCGTACTCCAGTCTAATCGACTTTTGTCTGTGAAATTGGTTGAATCTTCCGCCTTATTTCATTGTACTAAAAAAACTATTAAAATTGTACTTATATATAGTTGATTTTAAATTGATTTCTATAATTTTAAAAATATATCCTTTAGTTGTCAAAGGTTGATGACATTATATACCCTCTTCTCTCAAAATTGTACAACTCTATCTCTTTAATTTTTTTTCTTTTTCGAGAGAACTCTATCTTTGATTTCAACGAAATATTTTTGTTTTGTACCGTTGAACATTACGAAAAGTAGGAAATTCAAATCTATCAAATAAAAAATATATTAACCAATTGAGTTATATTCATATCAGTAATTGAAAATTCCACAATTAATTAATAAAATAATTTGTAAAAGTACCTTTAGTAGTAAAAAACAGGATTTGAAGACCGATCAAAATATAAATCAGTAGGCATATATCCGGATTAAAAAGTCAACTGTTCGAATAAAAAACAAGAAAAAAAAAAGTGTTTGAAGGGAGTGTTTTATGGTGAAGAATTTTTGCGTATGGTGAGGGGTGGAAATGGCCCCAAAGTTTAGGTGGTCAAACAGCGGCCGCACACTTTCTAGAACTTCTCTAATTACGTCTTCGCGTCTGTCACGGGCATCGAATTTATGAATTTACAAAATCAATGCTATTTTCCATTTATTTCTTTTTTTTCCCCTCATTGATCTAATATTAATAATTAAATGCATTAATTTCTTTCTTTTCTTAATTAAGGGTTGATTGCCAATTTATTCGGTTTTAAATTTTAATTTAGTATCTATAATTCGATCAAATTACGTAAATTATCCATTACATCATACTAAATATATGACATTTTATTCTTCTTTCTTTTTTTTCTTTTTACACAACAACATAACAATGAATTAAAACAAATTTATAATTTATCGATGTGGGGTTCTTAGCATGTCACGATATTTGTTTAAGTTTATTCGGTGTTGGGGGATAAAAAGTGGCATGACACGTGGACTAATAAGAAGAGTTGAATGTAAGCTGAGGTAAGAAGACTTAGACCTATTTTTCAAAGATTAATACATCGGCCATAAGAGATAGCTCGACCATAAACTACCTCGACCGTAAGAGATACCTCAGCAATAAACTACCTCGGCCTTAAGAGATAGTTCGACCCAGGAGTACCTCGTTCTTGATTCATAGCTCGGCCACATGGTACCTTAATCTTAAATTATAGCTCGACCAAGGATGAGATATATCACAAAACCAATCAATCGTCTTTCCGACAACACGACGTGATTTATGAGATGGTCGTAATCGCTCCTCAATCGCTGTCCTGTAAACTTAGGTTTTCTCGATTTGAGCATGGAAGTGTATGGCTAGCACCACACCAGTGTGTAATCTTGATGTAGATTAACACAGGACCTCCCGCTCTGATACCATCTTAAGAATGAACAAACCACCACTCAATCCAAAAGCTTAAGCTCATCAGTTGGGTAAATTTAATTCATTTATATGGATTCTAACAAATTTTAATCAAATTTATGCACCAACACAAATTATTAAACAAATTTTTATCATTTCATCCGAAATTCCAAATATAGATGGGGTGTGACATATGATAAAAAGAAGAGTTTACAGGAAAGTGGCTTCCAACTTCATATGTGTTTGGGGAAGAGAATACCCTGGACACGTGGAGGACCCCTATTGGTGCTCCAAGATGACTCATGAGTCATGCCCAGTTCGGACCGCCGAGATCACCACCACTAGCGTTTACAGATGCTAAGTATGAGGGCCGAGGTGAACCTGGCCGAGGTCCGATCTACTGGGATGCTCGGTGGGGGCCGATGTGAGCTACTGTCAGCGGCGTGATTATCGGGTGTAACCGACGGTCCCGAGATTACCGGGTGTAACCGTCGCGAGATTAGCGGGACTACCACCCATAAGTAGAGGACCTCACTCCACGATCAGGTACGATGATTTCTGACCTCGAACTAAACTGAGAATCTGACCTATACTGACTTGATCGTCGGAGTGCTCACCTTTTTGTGCAGGTCCGCTCAAGTACTCAGATCGGTCCGGAGGCCGAGTTCGAGCTGCAATCTGAAATACACTGTCGTGCATATCCTTGC